GCATGCTCCGGCATGCGCAGTTCGGCCGGCTCCTGGTCAGAGCCGTGTTTTCTCCCCGGCGTTTGATCGTGCCGGGGAGAAAAGGCGTCTCAACGTTGGCGCGGCTTTTAAAAGCCGCGCCTTTAGAGGCTTTTCCCCTGCCGTGTGGCAGGGGCCTTAGTTATGTATTGAAACCTATGTTAAGCTTGAGTCTGAACCAGGATTGTAAATACACCAATCAGAGCTGCGCAATGTTCTGGAGGGAGGCACTCCGATTGGACCTTATTTGTAAATAGTTAGTGGTTGTTAGCTGACTTGTGGGCATGGCTACCTAAGCCCGGACTGTTTAAAAGAGAGCCTGTTGCCTCGTTCTGATTTCTTCTGACTTCGTTAATAAAGCTGATTCACTGTTCACTAGCGGTGTTGAGTCTCGTACTTAACAGTTTGGCGACGAGGATGGGATACTAGAGCGGGTAGGCAGCCCCGCTGAACCGACGCCAGAACGGCGGACGACCGAGAAGCCCCTGAAGGACCCAGGGCAGAAGAACGAGACCCGGCAGATCAAGCGGCTGCAGCACTACTACCAGTGCCTGCACCCCAAACAGTGATGGCCGTCAACTCGCGGTTCGAAGCGTTCGAACCAGACCTCGAGGACTGGGACGCCTACCTGGCCAGGTTCGAGTTCCACCTCCCGGCGAACAAGGTCGATGATGAAGACCAGCAGAAGGCGACGCTCCTCAGTTCCTGTGGGAGAGCTGTGTTCGACGTTGCTCGGTGCCTAGTGGCCCCCGCTGAAATCAAGGACGTGTCCCTGGCTGACCTAAAGCTAAAGCTGAAGGGACATTTCGCACCACAACCATCGCAGATCGGCACGCGTTCTATAAACGGTCTCAGGCGGCCAACGAGACAATAGCTGAATATGTGTCGGCATTAAGGAAGGCTGCACGCCCGTGCACCTTCTCCGACCTGGAGGAAGCGCTCCTCGACCGGCTCGTCTGTGGCATGAAGGACAAGAAGCTGCAGCAGCGGCTGTTCGCCCGGGAAGCCCTCACCTACGCTGTGGCCTACTCAGAAGCTGTAGCCGCTGAGGCCGCGGAGAAGGCAACACAAGAAGTGCGTCAGAACCTGACCCCAATCCAACAGGGGGCCAGCAAGTCAGTGCACCACGAATCAACAAGCGAGTCCGAAGGAGAGCACGATGACGTCAACCACTCTCGAGCTCTGAGGGCCAAGCGGACCACAGTGAAAGCCACACCAAGGCGGGCCTGTGCCAGATGTGCGTTTCTGTGTGTGTGTCCATGCCTGGAAGTCATGGTGACCTCTGGCGACTCGTACTGGGGCACGGAGGACATTCAGAGAAGTGGCTCGATAGCCTGCCTCTGCCTCCCGGCCCTGATATTCTTTGGAGGTTAAGAACGCGGACTCTGATCTGGGAGAACCAGGTCTGATTCCCGTCTCCTCCACATGCAGCTGCCGGTGTGACCTTGGGTCAGTCACAAGTTCTCTCGGAGCTCTTCTCTCAAGGGCACTTGTCAAGAGAGCTCTCTCAGCCCCACCTGCCTC